TAACACACTCATAAAATTAGAAGTTTAGATATTTATAAACCAGCGCCGCAATAATGGCTATCAGTGGCGTATATAGAAATTAATTGGGGGGGAGGGATGCTTACAAAAAGTTAATATTTCAACACTCCCCCTTAAATTCTAATTAGTTACGCCCGTTCCAACCATACATTTCGGAGTGAGGGTGCGGTTGAACCCCCTTCTAAATACACCACTGATGGCTATATGGAAACTGACAACGGCTATATATGACATAAGCACCAAAGGTACAAAAATGACATTTCATTTGCGTCAAAGTTAATATTTTATAAAAGAGTAGTTATTTAAAAATTGCTATCTTATATAAATAATTATATTATACAAAAAAATTTAAATAACAAATTGTTAAAATATAATATAGGTACATGCAAATAATTTTATTTATTTTATTTTATAATATAAATATATTTACAATCTGTAACATCATAAAACAATAAGTAACTTTGAGATTTTTTTACCGGGTTTGAAGGCATAAAGGGTGCGTCCATTGACACTACTTCAAACTGGTTTTTTTTTATATTTTTATTTAGCGAAGTAAATCACTATTTATAATAATATCTTCTATTAACCGTGATGGCAAATAATAGGTACCTCTGTAGGAACGATACAACTTTTTTTTTTAATCTCATTTTGGCGCTTATGTCTTTCACCGCTGACGACATTGTAAAATTTAAGTATGGACCGAACAATTCTGTAAACGTGGAGCGGTCGTTTTCGATATTGTATAAAAACATATTATCGGATCGTGGAATATCTTTCAAATTTTAAAATATCAAAAAATAATTGCTATACATTGTAATCCTGATACTGAAAGTACTAAGCCTACGTAAAATTTAATTTTAATAGATCGGAAACTATAATAATTAATCATTTTTTTTCATATTTAATAGCTGATGTGTATTTCGTAATAAATTAATTTTGAATACCTACACATTTAAAGAGTCCCTATATAATTTGTTTTGAATAATTAATACTAACCATATATACATATATATTCGTTGAAAAAAAAAAATATATATAATATAATTTATGTCATATAATTACATATTTTGACTTTTTTAAATTCATATTTTATTGACATTTTGGTCATTATTAACATCCGAGCTCTACAGTAATCGATATAGTGATCAGCGGTATTGAAAAACGTTGATATTGTTATGCCAGAAAACTTAAGTACACATTTTAATGTCTTTTTATTATTTATTACCCCGTCGCGATAGTGTCTGCGCACGCTTGTGTATAATATGCTCGTGTGTGTGTACGCGCGCGCGCGCTCGTATATGTGTGCGTGTGTGTGTGCACGGCGTGGACGAGTGTGCGCCCTAAGACGGATCCCGCGCTACAATATTATATAGATCAATAACGGTGTAACATCGTTTCGGAGGCGTCTACAGCACACACACACGCACACACACAACCGTGTGTATATATGGCTCTTGTTATACGGCCGCGTAAACACCGTCTACAGTGTCCACACACACTACCTACACGTACGTCGTGCGACCGGCTCGCGTGACGGTCGTGAATGTGTGGGCGTGTGTGTGTGTGCAAGCTGCGCTTGTATGCGTGTGTTAGCGTGATTACACGGAGTTTAATAATAATATACGATAGCTGCGGTGTCCGTGCTCGAACGATTAATGCGATCTGTTTCCATTGATCTCACGTAAGTTCCGTGATGTGCATCGCACGCGGTTATAAATAAATAATAATTATATAATAACCATATCGATATAATAGCGCCGATGATAGACGTAGTAGTAGACAGTAGTATAGGTACTACACAGGTTATCATATTATTATACTGCATCGTGTCGCGAAGTACATACATTTTTAATCGGAATTTTCGCGCCTCCGTGCTATTTTTTTATTTTTTAATCATACTCTATTCTATATTTGTTGATATTTGTCCCGTCATTATTTATTTTTTATACTTGTTTTACCTATRGTATATTAGTATCACGATTTACAATCTATACATTTAAACCTATATTGTATATATTAGGTAATATACCGCTATAGGTGTAATAGGAATAACAAAATATGCAATAAAAAAAAATAAACAATAATTATATGATATTATATAGATAACGAATGGAAACACTTTTATGTAGAGGAGAGTTTTACTAAATTTGCAATATTTTTCCCTCGGAAAATC